AAAAAAAAAAAAAAAATCTGATTCTTCCAGGGGAAATCCAGCTGTGACCCAGTTCAGGGATACATTCTTCAGGTCTCCTTTAAAGTAAATGGGGCCACATCTAGATCTGGGGGATTTTCTGATTCAAGGGCTCATCGGGTGCACCCTGCCCACCAGCCTCCATCTGCTAGGTTCACCTCAAAAAGTCATCCCATCAGAGGCCTGGACCAACTCAGAAGTTAACCCAATGGGCTTAGGCAGAGCAGCCTCTGCAGTTTCTAAGGAGATGAGGAGATGAGTGTACATCACATCCTCCTTAAGAGACCACCAAACACAGCCAATTCCCTGGTCCTGAAACTCTGTTAAAATTTGAGGCAGGCTTCAAAGCCACTATTTGCTCTTGCCCCCAGGTAGGAGTGGACACGAGATAGCTGGGCCGGGGGCAGGAAGGAGCTGTGTCTGCAGTTGAGCATTTGCCTTGTGGCAGGCACCATGCTGAGGGCCATCTCATTTAATCCTCACCATCATCTTAGGAGACGAGATTAGTGTCCCCACTGCACAAATAAGAAAACAGCATCTCAGAGAGGTTAACACAGATGGGATGGAAAATGGAGCTCAATGGCATATTTCAACCCAGGTCTGGACAGCCCTGTCTCACTCAGCTCAGGCTGCTGTGACAAATAGCACAGGCCAGGTGGCTAAAACAGTAAGCATTTACTTCTCATAGTTCCAGAGGCTGGAAGCTCAGATTCGAGGTGCCAGCAGACTCAGTGTCCAGGAAGGGCCTCATCCTGACTGTGTCCTCACCTGGCAGGACGAGAGAGTGATCACCTTTCCCATCTATTCTGATAAGGCTTTGTCCTCAGGACCTCATTACCTCCAGAAAGCTTCACCTCAAAATGTCACTACATTGAGAAAGAGGGCCTCAACATATGAATTTTAGGGGAACACAAACATTCAGGCCAAAACACGCCCCAAAGCTGTGCTCTTGACCCACACAACAACCCAAGCAACCTTAACACAAAGGTCAGATTAGAATGATCTGACAATACACCCCAGTGGCTTCCAGTCCAACTCAGAGTATGTCCCACTCCTGCCCAGTCTGGCCTCTGCCTTCCTCTCCTGCCATATGCCCCACCTCTTCTTGTCCTTGCTGGCTCCCTGCCAGTCCTACGGGCCTTCTTGCTGTTCTCTGAGATCACGAAGTCCCTGCCTCAGGGCCACCACACTCCCTATTTGCTATTCCCTCTTTCTGTAATGTTCCCCCCCCCTCCCCGGCACCACTCTGCAGGTCCCTCTTACTTCATCAAGGTCTCTCTTCTATGCCACCTTCTCAGGGAGGCTGTACTCAACTACTCCATCTGAAAGAGACTCCTCATCCCACCACTCTCTACCTAGCCCTCACCTTATGCTAGACGTTTCCCACCAGTGCTCACCCATACCTGGGTGCACAGACTTGGGCAGTTAACTGCTTTTACCAGTGACCCTCTAGAACCCAAGCTCCATGAGGCAGGGTTCTGCACTGCTCATCCCCATGATCTCAAGGGAGATTTTCTATTTACTGGGAGTGGCGGTGACAAAGAAGGGACTGCAGTTTCACCCATGCCAGAAGAACATGTCATCCAACTGCCCTGATAACTGTATGACAATGCCTGTTTTAGAAGTCTGTGATCTTATCAGAGAAGACACAAGGAAGGCAACAAAAAGATAATTATATTTTAGAAAGAGAAAACAAACAAAAAAGAACTTCAAAATGACCAACTGCTATTTATTGCTAGAATAGACAATAGTGTCTATAAGTAATTAGAATAGACAATTAGTTCTTAATGCCATCCAGCAATTTTTCAAAGCAGAGAGAAATGGACTCTTACTAAAGGAGGTATCTGGCATTTCACCAACCGGAGGCCTTCTAGAAGGGGAATCTCTAAGATTCCACAAATCCCCAAGCTTACAAGGGGTTGAGGCAGAAGCTAATTGTAATCTGAGAAAAGACCAGTATTTAGTGTAAAAGTTTCTGGAAATAAAATTATCTGTTTTGGAAACTTAACTTGTCTCACTTTAAATGTAATCCCTCCCCTGCCTCAAAAACTCCACTTTGCCTTGGTTTCTCCAGGTTGTTGAAAGATGGCTCATTTCCCACACAACAATTTACATCCTAGAGATGAATTCTGTAAATAAACAGGATGGTTATTTTCAAAACTCAGGATTTACTCTGAGTTTTGTCTCATACAGTCTGTCTGAACATTGAGCTGTGGAAATTCCTCCTGGCATCTGAAGGGCTTTGGCTGCCTGGACCTTCTCAGTATTTCTCTCCCTTCTTAATACATTCACCACTTCAAAGGAACTCTTGACTTCAGACCAAGGTCAGGCTCAGAGGGTGAAATACCTAAGAGATAAGAGACTAGTCTTCTGGGAAAATGTAAACTAACCTCTTAGTTTATAGCAATTTTTAACCAAATCTATACACCCCTTGCTCTTAGAAGGTAGAAGATGATAAAGCTTTATTGTATTGCCAAATGCAAGGATTAGGATAAAGAAAATTCTGGAGGTGATTTCACTTCCAAAGAAGGAAGAAAAAGAGGTTCGTATTTATTTTTGAATTGCGGTGGTGACCTTGGGAGGGGAAGCTGCAGAGAAAAAATTAAGAAATGCAATGGGAAAGACAGGAGAGGCCAGGGAGGGGTGGTGTTCTCATGAGTGGGCTGCTGAGGGCAGAAACTCCCTGGAACTGTGGTATCTCCACTGTAACCCAGAATGTACCACTCCGTATCTCTGGATGTTTTCCCTTTCTTATTCTGCATTGGATCATAATTATTTCTGAACACTTGCAACCAGAAGCCCAAACCCCCATTCTTTAGCATTAATGATGCGTTTACTTATTTAAACATGCACTTATATCCCACTTCCTTCATGCCACGTGCTAAGTTTATCATGTAACTTTCACACTATAAAATCATTTCTTTATGGCTTGAGTCATTCTCCAAAGCATTTTTTAAAAGACAAAGGGAAAAAAGACTATAGATAGTCTTAGTGTTATTTATAATCATTACTGACATTCTTGTGCCCAAGTCAGAAAACATCCGACAGGCACACAGATCTCTGGCTAACGGATCAAACTCCAAGGCATAGTCTCTGCTGTACACCTGTTACCTCTGTAGTTACTCTGATGCGGTGATCAATTTAGGCATAATTCCTACAGAGTTCTTGAGAATATGACATTGATCTTGCTCTAACACTTTTTCTCATTAAAGAACCATGATTCTTTGTACTTTACAGTTGACATGGAGGAAAAAGAAATACTACATAATGTGCAGATTCTAACAACTAAAATGTGTGCATTATCATGATATGGGACTTACTTTTTCATTCCATGCCCACAGTCCAATTCCAAGAAATGTTATTCCCAAAAACTGAAAAGAGAAAGAAAGCAGTGTAAGTATACAGGTCAATGCCATGTGTTTACTAATAAAAATAAAGTTCTCAGTTAATTCTTTTGTCATTGTACTTGGCTGGGAAATAGCTTTCTCTAAACTCTGAATATCCACCTTTACCAAGAACATAAATTACCACAATCCCCTGGCTTGAAATTATTACAGCATTAAGAAGGGTTGGAGACACACAGGTGCTTAGAA